GGCACAGGCCAGGCTGAGGGCCCCCCCCCCCCCCCCCCCCGAGTGCACAAATTTTTGTGCACCGGGCCTCTAGTTATAGTAATCAGTCATTGGCGAACATTGTAGCTCATTATGTATAATGATCAGATTGTGTATTAAAATTTAAGAAATGTGTGTACCAATAAAGTTTTTACATTTGTAAAAAAAAAAAGGATATAGAGCTCAGGTCCTAGCTGGGCCTCACACGCACCACTTCCATTCGTCTGCCTAAAATCTCGCGTGCGCACTGCGCTGCTTCCTCTCGGCGTCCGACCTAGTTCGCAGTGACATGGCTAAACGCACCAAGAAGGTCGGAATCGTTGGTAAATACGGGACCCGTTATGGCGCCTCCCTCAGGAAAATGGTGAAGAAAATTGAAATCAGCCAGCACACCAAGTACACCTGTTCCTTCTGTGGCAAAACCAAGATGAAGAGGCGAGCTGTGAGGATCTGGCACTGTGGTTCCTGCACGAAAACCGTCGCTGGTGGTGCCTGGACCTACAACACCACTTCTGCCATCACAGTAAAGGCAGCCATCAGAAGACTGAAGGAATTGAAAGACCAGTAGAAGCTCCACAGTTTGAAACATTGCGAGCCTATAATAAATGGGTTAATTTATATAACAAACAAACAAAAAAAAAAAAACAAAAAAAAAGAAAGAAAGAAAAAAAAGAAAAAGGAAAAAAAAGAAAAGATAATAATGTATAATTATAATAATTATGTATAACAGGATATTGTAAAAATTAAGTTGGGAAATTTTCATTAAAATGTTTCTTATAAACCATTATATTGGCTGGGCTACAGAAATATTCGTTGTGGGCTGCATGTGGCCTGCGGGCCAAGAGTTTGACATGCTTGTTCTAGTGCCTCAGCTCTTTCAGGTTTGCTGGCACCTCCTTTCTGTCACCTACAGGGGCACATATTTCCTGCCACGGGCTGTTCCCCCTTGCCTCAGGTCACTGCAGGTTGGGTCAGAAGCAACTTTTTGCTGGTGGGAAGGCGGGTACCTCCCCTGCACTTCAGGTGGGCAGGGATGACCTCCTTCCTAGACCTACTGTCTAGCCCCCTTTCTCTTCACCATCATGACTTCTTCCAAGAAATAGAGGCCCCCCCCAGATTCAATGTTAAATGTATCCTTCAGACCCCTCCAGTGTATGCTTGCCCTGAGATCCACTGTGTGACCCTTCTCACTGGTCAGAGGAGCATCCGAGGCTCCAGGATGACAGGGTGCTAGCACTGCTCTATCCAGGGACTTCAGCCCCAGGCTTCCACTGCTGCACCCACTCCCAAGTCTCCACAGCCAGTGCTCTCAGGCCTCTTTTCTCAGTCCCAGGTCCTCCTGTCTCACCTATAGATCTGCAGCCTCTTCAGTCTCCTTATGTCCTCAGTTCAATAGGTCCATGTCAGGGGAGGCTACATCAACGTCCTGGCTTTCAGTGTAGTTCCTGCCCCCAATTCCTGGTGGTGGAGCTGAGCAGCTGAGCTCTAGGGTGGCAGTGGCAGCACAGTAGTGGTGGCAGTTGGTAAATATAAGGCAGGGCAAGAGCCCTTCCATGTCAGTGTTGGTCACCCAGAGGTGGCACAATGTCCAGGCTGGGTCCTATCAGGCACATGGTGCAGGTTGGATACATGCCAGGCATACAGAGGTTTCTAGTTTGTTGCAGGCATATTGTTTTGGGTTGTGACCTCTGTGGGTGCACTTAAGTTCAGGCCCAGGCCATCTAGCCACAGTTGCTCCCCACAGCCTCTTCCCAAGGAGGACCTTGTCAAGCTTTCAAGGTGGCCCACTCTCTAAGGTGGAGCTATGCCCTGGGAGGGGCTGTGGAGGTGGCGATAGTGTGGAGTCCCACAGCTCTCAGCTGCAGGCACGTGGGGTCTCACTTCTCTTCACTTAGGTGTTGGCAGGGCTTTGTCTATGGCAGGTGCGAACAGGGTCTTGCTGTTGCTGCCGCTGCTATTAACATAGGTGCACAAACCAGGCATTGTCTGCAGGGGATGTGTGCGGAGTCTGGGTTGTGTCCTTGGTGCACACAAGTATATGAGGTCCAGGGGGGGTGGTGCCAATGGTTTCTGGCCCCAGCTGTGGCTAGTGTGGGTGGTAGAGGGGCTGGGCACCTAGCTGCTTCTGCTCCTCACCTCCTCCTCCCAAGGACCTTGTAAACTCTTCAAAATGGCATGGTCTCTGAACCAGAGTCACATCTGGGAAGTGCCTATGGGTGTAGCAGAACCTCTTTGGCTAGGAGAGCCAAAACCGCCTGTCCCCAAGACTCCCCATGATTGGACTGCCCCTCCCCCATGCCACACACAACCACACACCCGTGTATGTCCACACACTCTCACTCCTTCACTCACTCAAACTCTCTCCCTCACTCCAGTTCTTCCGTATTTATGGGGATTTATGTTCCTCTTCAGTCTTTTGATTGGAGCATTTAATCCATTTACATTTAAAGTTATTATTGATAGGTACTTATTTATTGCCATTTTAATTCTCTATGCCTGTGTTTCTCTCTCTCTCTCTCTCTCTCTCTCTCTCTCTCTCATTATTACAGCAATTCCTTTAACATTTCTTGCAATGCTGGTTTGGTGGTAATAAACTCCTTTAGCCTTTTATTTTTGTCTGGGAAACTATTTTTCCAACTATTTTGAATGATAGCATTGCTTAATAGAGTAGTCTTGGATTTAGATGCTTGCTTTCATTTCATTGTATACTTAATACCTATCCCTTCTGGGCTGGAGAGTTTTTGTTGAGAAATCAGCTGACAGCCAAATTGGAGCTTCTTTATAGGTAACACATTGCTTTTCCCTTGCTGTCTTTAAGATTATCTCTTTGGCTTTAATTTTCAACATTTTAATTGTGATGTGTCTGTGCATGGTCCTCTTTGGGTTCATCTTGTTTGGGACTCTGTGCTTCATGAACTTGTGAGACTTTTTCCTACTCCAGGTTAGGGATGTTTTCTGTCATTATTTCTTCAAACAGGTTCTCGTTTGCTTTCTCAGTTTATTCTCCTTTGGGTACTCCTACGATGCAGATATTATTACGCATTCATGTTGTCCCACAGCTTTTTAAAACTGTCTTCCTGTTTTGTTCCCCACTGTCTGATTAAGTGATTTTTTCCCCGTCTTCTAATTAGCTGATCTAACCTCATCTTCCTCTAGTCTGTTGTTTATTTCTTTCATTGTTTTCTTTATTTCCACTATGTCATTCTTTATTTCCAACTGGTTTTTCATAGTTTCTATATCTTTTTTTCATGCTGGTGAGCATCCTTATAATCATTATTCTGATTATATCCACTTCATTTAGCTCTTCTCCTGGACAATTCTCTTGTTCTTTTATTTGGAGCTTGTTTCGTTGCCTCCCCATTTTTTGTTGCCTTGTTTGAGTTTGCTTCTATGTATTAGGTACATCTCCTCTGACTCCCAGTCTTGGTAGGGTAGCCTCATGTAGTAGGTGATCTGTGGGGCCCAGTGCTACAGTCTTCCTGATCACCAGATCTGGGTGCTCTAATAATGCCCATTGTGCACATTGTGTGGACCCTCCTGTTGTAATTGAGTCTTTACTGGCCCACTCATGTGTGGGCTTGACCGTCAGGCTGACAGTAAGGCTCAACTCCAACAAAGTGTGCAGGCTGCTATGCAGATGCCTGCTACACAAAGTGGAATTCACCTCAGTAGGTTTTATAGCCTGCCAATATCTTCCTTTTGATATACTGCTTGTGAAGATTATTGGATCCTCTTCTGTTCTTGTCTAAAGTTGACCACTGGGCTTATTGGTTTTGGGTCCCTTTGGAGGGTCTCTGGCACAGGTCAATATCAGGTGCTGTTTTTGACTGGCCCAGAGTACCCTGTTTGGAGCTATCAGCAATTCTCAAATTGTGGCTCCTTCTGCTGGGGCTGGGTGCATGCAGAAAGGACCAAAATGCACACAAAGGTCTGCTTTTCCTAGCTCCCAGTCCCAGAAGCAGGTTAGGCAAATACTTAAAGCATCCTGAGATCTGCCTAGGGCAGGGGTGGGCAAACTTTTTGACTCGAGGGCCACAATGGGTTCTTAAACTGGACCGGAGGGCCGGAACAAAAGCATGGATGGAGTGTTTGTGTGAACTAATATAAATTCAAAGTAAACATCATTACATAAAAGGGTACAGTCTTTTTTTTTTTTTAGTTTTATTCATTTCAAACGGGCGGATCCGGCCCGCGGGCCATAGTTTGCCCACGGCTGGCCTAGGGCCTACAGGCTGACTGTTAGTCTCAGTCACTTAATGGACCTCAGGCTGCATACCTCAGCAAGGTGAAAACTCCACAGGCTGGGGCAAGAGGATTTCCAATGGGTGGGGCTATTGCTTCCCCCCAGGCTAAAGCTGCATTGATGGGAAAGCTCTGCCTGAGAAAGATGGCTTCTGCAGCATGGGAAAATGACTCAGAACAGGGATCCTGGCAGCTGTCCTCCCAGCTCTCTCTCCTGAGCCATCAGTCCCATATTCTCCTCATGCAGCTCTAGTCCACTTTTTTATCCCTCTGTTAGAGCCCAAGGTGAGTGGCTGCAAATGAAATTTAGTGTGTTGGCCCTTTAAGTGATTGTCTGTGTTTCTAGCCATCTCTCTCTGCCTGACAAAACCCCCAGTGCTTTTTACAGCCAGATGTTACGTGGGCCATTTTCCCAGTTCTGTTACTCTGGAGGGGGATCCCAGCTTGGGGGTTAGACCCAAGACTTCTCAAGGAAACCCCCAGCAGCTAAGATATCCCTCCAGAACTTCAGCTGCTGCCCATGAGGGCCTACTCATCCCTCTCATGCCTCTACACTTTCGACCAGTCTTGATGTGGCCTTCTCTTCATGTTCTTGGTTATAAGGGTTCTCTGCTAGTCTTCGGTTGTTTATTCAGGATGATTTTTCCACATTTTAGTTGTTATTCCAGTTTGGTTGTGGGTGAATGCCCATGTAGATTCCACTTATTCTTGACAACTTCAAGAGCTATCTTTATTTATTTTTTAAAATTTTATTGAATTTATTGGAGTTACATTGTTTAATAAAATTATATAGATTTCAGGTATACAATTCTATAATACATCATCTGTACATTGTATTGTGTGTTCATGACTCCATGACTTTTATAATCATTTATCTTCCCTTTAACCTCTTCTACCTCCCTCCATCCCCCCTTTTCCTCTGGTAATCATCATATATTGTCTGTGTCTTTGATGTTGTTTTTTTCTTAATCCCTTCACCTTTTTCACCATCACCCCCAACTTAAACTGGACCAAAAAATTAAGTCCATCACTGCCTGTCACTACTGAGCCATTAAGCAAAGACAAGATTGAATCATTGATGTGTGTTTATTTCATATTTCCAGCAATGTGGAGTGAGCAACAGTAATGATCCCTTGGAAAAAAACCTGCTCCCTGACATTTCATTTTAAACAAACTCTTATATAGGATTAGTGGGTTAAAAAAAATCTAAAGTTAGTGAATTCACAAGGTCTGCCCTTAAAAAAAATCTTTATTGTTGAAAGTATTACATAGGTCCCCTTTTTGCTGCCATTAACCTTTTACAGACCACTCCTGTAACTCCCCTGCCCCCCGCCCAGAACCACACCACCTTATTGTCTGTGTTCATGGGTTATGCATACAAGTTTATTGGTTGATCTGTTCCCACCCACCCTCCCCTGCCTTCCCTCTGAGGTTCAACAGTCTGTTCAATGTTTCTATGTCTTTGGCTCTCTTTTTGTTCATCAATTTATTTGGTTCATTAGATTCCACGTATGAGTGAGATCATGTGATATTTATCTTTCTCTGACTGGCTTATTTCTCTTAGCATAATACCTTCCAGGCCCATCTATGCTGCTGCAAATGGTAAGAGTTCTTTCTTTATTATTGCTGTGTAGCATTCCATTGTGTATATGTAACATAGTTGTTTGTGTGTTTTTTTATTTTATTTTATCTACTCATTTGCTGAGGGCACTTAGGTTGTTTCCAAATCTTACTACTGTAAATTGCGCTGCTATGAACATAGGGGTGCATATATTCTTTCTGATGAGTATTTCTGGTTTCTTAGAAGATACTCCTAGAAGTGGAATCATTGGGTCAAATGGGATTTCCATTTTTAAGTTTTTGAGGAAACTCCACACTGTTTTCCACAGTGGCTGCACCAGTCTGCATTCCCACCAGCAGTGTAGTAGGGTTTCCTTTTCTCAGCATCCTCGCCAACACTTGTCATTTGTTGGTTTGTTGATGATAGCCATTTTGATGGGTGTGTGCTGATATCTCATTGTCATTTTGATTTGCATCTTTCAGATGATTAGTGACTGATCATTTTTTTATATGTCTCTTGGCTTTCTGAATGTTCACTTTGGAGAAGTGTATATTTAAGTCCTTTGCCCATTTTTTTAAAAATTGAATTGTTTGTCATCCTTTTGTTAACTTTATAAGTCCCCTATATATTTTAGAGATTAACCCCTTATCTTATCTAATAAAAAGCGGATATGCAAATTGACCTTCACACCATAATGATCAAGATGGCTGCACCCACAGCGGAGGCAGGGATTCCATAACACAAGATGGCTGCGCCCACATTGGAGGCTGAGTTCCTATAATGAGCCTTAACGAGCAATCAGCAGGGACCTGAGGCTGCACTCCTTCCCTGCCTGGTGGGGCTTGACAGGGGACCTCAGGCCATGCTGCCTACCCCAGCAGAGCTTGATGGGGGACCTCAGGCTGCGCCCCCCACCCCAGCACTGGGCCAGGGGACCTGAGGCTGTGCCCCCCACCTGGTGGGGCTTGACGGGGCACCTCAGGCCATGCTCCCCACCCAGTGGGGCTTAACGGGGGACCTCAGGCAGTGCTCCCCACCGGGCGGGGATTGACGGGGACCTCAAGGCACACCACCTGCCCTGGCCCAGGCTGGGGGACCTCAGGCCAAGCCCCCTGCCCAGCAAGGCTTGACGGGGGACCTCAAGGCACACCCCTACCTGGGTGCTGGGCCGGGGGACCTCAGGCTGCTTTCCCTGACCCCGGGCCAGGGGACCTCACGCAGCACCCCCTGCCCCAGGGCCAGGCCGGGGGACCTGAGGCTGCACCCCCCACCCAGATGGGCTTGACAGGGGACCTGAGGCTGTGCCCCCTGCCCGGCGGGGCTTGATGGGTCTGGATCTTGCCCAATGGGGGTGGGGCCAGCCAGGTCTGGGTCTCGCATGATTTTGAGGCATGCACGGTTGGGCAGGGACTTGACTCTGGGTCCCGTGGTGCGCCCCAGACTCTCACAGAGGAAGAATTTCATATACATTATACTAATTTTCTTTCATCTCTGACACTTCTATTATAAGGGCAAATAACATTATTAAAATATTTCCTCTAATTAATTCCCTTCTAATGTGCATAAATTTCTTGCACCGGGCCACTAGTAGAATGTATAATTGGCAAATATGTTATTCCATGTCGTGGGGTCTATTGATATATTGTTGTGCAGCTATTTATTTTAATGTTGTCCCATTTATTTTCTCAGTTTACATTATCCTAGGAGATGTATCAGTAAACATATTGCTACAAGAGATGACTGAGATTTTGCTGCCTATGTTTTCTTCTAAGATTTTTATGGTTTTACAACTTATAAGTATTTTATCAATTTTTTTAGTTTATTCTTGTGTATGGTGTAAGTTGGTGGTCTAATTTCATTTTTTTGCATGTACCTGTCCAGTTGTCCCAAAGCTATTTATTGAAAAGATTGTTTCTGGCCCTAACCGGTTTGGCTCAGTGGAAAAGATTGTTTCTGCTTCATGGTATTTTCTTGCCTCCTTTGTCAAATACTAATTGAGCATAGTGGCTTAGGTTGGTTTCTGGGTTCTGTGTTCTGCCCCATTGATCTATATACCTGTTCTTTTGCCAGTACCCAGTTGTTTTGATTACAATCGCTTTGAAGTACAACTTGATATCTGGCATTGTGATCCCTCCAACTTTATTCTTCTTTTTCAAGATTGGTGTGGCTATTTGGGGTCCTTTTCTTGTTCTATATAAATTTTTGGAGTGTTTGTTCTAGATCTGTGAAATAAGCATGGGTATTTTAATATGGATTGCATTGAA